CTCTCTCTCTCTCTCTCTCTCTCTCTCTCTCTCTCTCTCTCTCTCTCTCTCTCTCTCTCTCTCTCTCTTTCTCACTAACTCACTCACGCTCACGCCTTCACGTGCGCACACCTGCTCGCCAACATTCATTCATACTGCCGTGCTCTCGTAGGGTGAGGCGTTTGATCCCTTTGCGCCAGCACCAACCCAGTCGCAGCCCCAACTACAACAGCCGCAGCTGTCGACGGCGTCATCTGCTCGGGGATCGTCACACACCCTCCCGCTGCCCACCGCAGACGCATTTGCACCCCACGTTCAGCACCAACCACAGCAGCAGCAGCAGAGTGGTGGCGGTGATGAGCGCGTGAGTGGAGGGCCGTCCCCTGCGCGTCGACAGCGCCCGTCGACAGATCGCGGCCACGTGCAGCTGAACGTGGTGGACGCCGGCCTGTACGAGGATCTCCCGCCCATGTGAGCCATTGATTCAATGCACACGCGGTGTGTTGCATGCGGCGCGCTGCTGCTGCTACATCACATCCGACGCGGCGAGCCCACGTCAGCGTTTCGTAGGCCGTTGTTCTGGTTGTTCTGGTTGTTCTTGTTGCTTGGAGTATGTTGTTGTGTTGTTGCTTGGGGCTTTAGTTGGTTTCGTTCTTTCTTTTGTTGTTCTGGTACTTTCACCATCTTACTTACCTTAGATGAACGCACATCGAACGTGCTGATGGCGTGTAACATGCACGAGATAAAGCGTGTTGCTGCTGTCACTCTTACTGCTGTTTATGTGAACGCGGAGAGAGTGTGTGAGTGAGTGTGAGAAAGAGACAGAGAGCGAGACGGGGAATGGAGAGAGCGCGGCACACACACACACACACACACACACACACACACACACACACACACACAGCTCCTTAAATGGGTCAGTATCCTAAAAATAGGCTCGTTGCAAATCCAAACACAGCAGTTGCGCAGCTGCCAACATGATGATGCGGAAGGGGTTTGCGTGTGGGCTTGTTGAGCTGTTGATGGCACTGCTCATCGCCATCGCTGTCGTCGTCATCGTGGTGGCACCGGCGGCTGGAGCCGAGCAAGTGGTGAGGGGGTTTGCTTTGTGGGTGATTGCTTTCGTTCGTCCGTACCCATCGAAGGCAATCTGCTCTGTCGTTTTTGTCTCATTCATCCCCATCCCTCATGTCAGCTTTGTTTCTTGCCTTGCCGAACCACGCTTGTAGGAGGTGCTTCTGGTTGGAAACAGCCTCACGTCCACAAACAACCTGAAGCAGGTCAGGCTCAAAAGGGCGCTCGTCTATGACGGCGTGATGTCAAGGGTTGTGCCTTTGTGTGTCGGGTCAGAGTGGAGAACTGCTGCAGCAAGGATCGCATGTGCATACAACATGAAGCCTTCATTCGTGTATTCCTCCCTGTAACACCCCCACACACACACACGCACGCACACACACCCGCACACACGCACGCACGCGCACACACACGCACGCACACACACACAGGTGCTAGCGACCCTGTCCAACAGCAATGGCGCAAACGTGCAGTACGTACCTTCAATTGTGTGCATGTGTTTGAGAGGAAGAGCGAGAGCGTGTGCGTGAGTGTGTGGCAATTATTGTGTGTTTGTATGTTGTTTTGTCTTTCGTCTGACACAGTGTGTGTTTTCTTCGCCATGTGTACATGCGTGCAGAATGAACACGGCAGCAAGCACTGGCGGAGGCGTGAGCTTTCGCGGACACGCTGTGCTGCCGGAAGACTACGACAAATACAGTGCGTGCACGTTTCGTATCCATCATGCACTGCTGATGAGTCCTTGATGTGCGTGGCTCTGCCCTTGCCCGCCCCCGCGCAAATCAGCAGCCGCCGTCCCTCCCTCCCAACAGACAGCTCAACCCCTTTCTCGCCTGTCTTGCGACTCTCTTCCTTCAGATCCGCCCGTGCGCACCATCCAGAAGATTCGCAGCCAGCACTGGGATTACGTTGTCTTGCAAGACCAGAGGTGTGTGGGCCATGGCTCCTCTTCTTCAGCTCGTACTGTGTACTCTGTTGCGCTGCAGATGCCGTACTGGTCCATGCCTTTCTTAGTTTACTTGGCAGTCTTCACAATTATGTATTTGCTTGTGGAGGGTGCAATGTTCACAACTGTTCGCTGGTGGAACGTGTGCACCTTTCACGACTGTTGACTGCATGTTCGACCGTGTTCCACGTCCATCATCCCATCCTCATCCTCACCATCATCGCAACCACCACCATCACCACCACCGTCACGCACCAGTGGGAGCTGGTTCTTCCTTGAGGATCCGTATCTCGAAGAATACGGCGACCCCATCTACGACGAGAACCAGGATTTCACAGGTCTTGCGTGTGCGTGTGTGTGTGTGTGCGTGTGCGTGCGTGTGTGTGTGTGTGTGTGTGTGTGTGTGTGTGTGTGTGTGTGTGTGTGTGTGTGTGTCGGTTGTGTGCTGCCTGTCTCTCTCTCTCTCTCTCTCTCTCTCTCTCTCTCTCTCTCTCTCTCTCTCTCTCTCTCTCTCTCTCTCTCTCTCTCTCTCTCTCTCTCTCTCTCTCTCTCTCTCTCTCTCTCTCTCTCTCTCTCTCTCTCTCTCTCTCTCTCTCTCTCTCTCTCTCTCTCTCTCTCTCTCTCTCTGTATCTCTGCCTGTGTGTCTGTATGTATGTATGTATGTATGTCTGTCTGTCTGTCCATCTCCGTTTCTGCCTCCGCTTCCTCTGCCCTGCGCTTCTCCTTCCTCTGCCCATGCTGCTGCGTCGTGCGCTGACCCTCGCCCCCACCCCAACTCAATGAATGCTTCTTGCTGTCGACAGGCGAATACGACATCTACCCGTTCCGGCTGGCGCGTGAAGCGAGACAGGCCGGCGCACAGCCGGTGAGTGTTGTTTGCCGTGTTTGCTGCCGTTGATGTTGATGTTGATGGTGCTGTTGAGTTGATGCTGCTGTGTTTAGGGCTACATTTCAACCACTATCACTGCACTGACACCACCCCCAACACCTCATATCACCACCCACGCCGCCGCCAACCACCACAACGACACACACACACACACACTCACACACACACACACGCACGCACACACGCACGCACACACACACACACACACACACACACACACACACACACACACACACACCACAGGTGTTCTTCCAGACATGGCCGACGAGCGATACGGTCAACAGCACATTCCACCAGCGCGAGATTGAGGACGCGTACAACAACGCCGCCGGGAAGACATACGCGTTTGTCGCACCGGCCGGCGCCGCATTCTTCGAGGTGACGCGATCGCATACGATGGGATCGGGATGGGGCTGGGGTGGACGTGTGGTTGCGTTTTGTATGGTTGCGTGATTGTGCTTGTTTGCGTATGTTTGCTTGTGCTTGTTCACGTTTGTTTGCTAGCGTTGCGCATGTCCTTCACGTGTGCCCGCTCCTCCTGCTCACTCCTCGCTGTTCACTTCCCACTTCTCACGGCCACTTCCTCGTTCCCCAACGTCTCCCATGCACTCTTCCCTCCAGGCCGCCAACCAGCTGTCGGAGCCGCTGTATGCGGACTCAATCCACCCCAACATCCGCGGCACGTACCTCACCGCCTGCACGCTGTACACCACCATCACGGGCCAGAGCACGCGCGGGTTCAACAGCGGCGGTACCTCCATCCCACCGGACGACCTGTCCACCCTCCAACAGGCCGCAGATGACGCAATCGACCAATTTCGCAAGCGCATCAAGGTGAGGCGTCTGTGTGTGTGTGCGTTTGTGTGTGTTTGGTTGTGTGTGTGTGTGTGTGTGTGTGTGTGTGTGTGTGTGTGTTGGTTGTGTGTGTGTGTGTTGTGTGTGTTTGGTTGTGTTTGGTTGTATGTGTGCGTCTGTCTGTCTCTCTGTCTGCCTGTCTTTCTGTTTGTCTGCGTCTGTGTGTGTGTCTGTGTGTGTCTGTCTGCCTTTCTGTCTGTCTCTCTCTGTCTCTCTGCCTTCATGCACCTCTGCACCTCTGCACAACTGCACCACCGCAAAACCCGTGTCTTCCATATCACTTTTTTTCTTCTCTCGTCACACCCACGCTTGCGTTGGTCTCACCGTAGCACTAACATCCAACACCAACCACACATCCCCGCCCTTCACCTTCCTCTCCCCCCAATACCCAGACCAACTTGCCGTGCCGCCCTGGCTTCTGTATTCTGTCGTATGACCAGCGTGTGCCACCCACCACGACCACCACGACCACAACCACCACGACAATGGACGGAGACGCCACCACCGCGGCGCCCACGGTTGTGCCCAACTGCCCCCTGCACGATGTGGCGTTCCCCATGTTCCTGGGCGGATTGCTGACAACGGCACAGGACTACAAGCTGACGCGCAAGCTGCTGCAGATGCACTGCGTGGACGACTGGACCCCCTGCTTCAACTCGAGCGACTCAGCCACCGTCCCGGAGACAACGGCTGCTCGCTCGTCCTTCCACGCCGCCTGTGACTTGCGCGGGCCGACGCTGGCCGTGTTCCGCGTGAAGGCGCCGCACACCACCTCCGTGCACGACGGGCGCGTGTTTGGTGCGTATGCGCCCGTGTCGTGGTCATCGCGCGGATCCTCCGTGCAGGCCGATGGGGTGTGGCTGTTCCGCTTTGACCCGGACTTTCCGACGCGGCTGGAGGTGGTGGATGTTGTTGCGGAGGACGGCAAGACCATGTACGACTACCCGCTGGAAGGACCGATTTACGGACGGTCCTCCGAGGTTCGGCTGGAGGAGAAGTTGCGTCATGCCGCGTTTGGAGCGCAGGCGCTGCGGTACGCCTACCCGGACCAGCCGGAGGACTTTGGGCCCTCGTGGTTCGCGGGGTCGACGGGGGCGAACCTGGACCTGTCACTGGTGTTCTACAGCCCAACGCTGAGTGAAGGAGGCGTTCCAGACACCACCACCACCACCACCACCACAACTACAAAGAAGGAGATGACGACGACGACGACGACGACAACAACCAAGAATGTGGCAACAGTCACACTGACAACAACAACAACAACAACAACAACAACAGCAGCAGCAGCAGCAACAACAACAACAACAACAACAACAACAACAACAACAACAACAACAACAACAACAACAACAACGACGACGACGACGACGACGACGACGACGACGACGACAATGCCTCGCACCCCCGTTGCACCGCGACCTGCGTCTGGATCGAGCGGAAGCAGCAGCAGCAGCGCCGGCGCAAACAAGACGGTGCTGGTGGCCGTGTATGTTGGCGTGGGTGTGCTGTTTGTGGCGGTGGTTGTGGTGGGTGCACTGTGGATGCGAAAGCGCGCGCGTGAGAACTCCTTCACCATCACCACCTACAGCAATCCGTCGTTCCAGTTTGTCGATGGCCACGACGACAACAACAACAACAGCAGCGGCAACTATGACATTGAGGATGAACTGGATCACATGGATGCACGCGCACTCGCAGGCATCGGTGTCAACCTCACCCATCTCGAAACAGACGCGTGATGTCTGTGTGCGTGTCTGTCTGTCTGTCTGTGTGTGTGTGCGTGTCTGTGTGTCTGTGTGTCTGTCTGTCTGTGTGTGTGTGTGTGTGTGTGTGTGTGTGTGTGTGTTCTCTGTACGTCTGTGTTTGTTTTCTCCCTGTGTGTGTGTGTGCCTGTTTGTGGAAGCTGGCGTGCTGACGTATTCCGTTCTTCCTATGCGTGCTTGCTTTGCCATTTGCCATTTGCCATTTGCCTCGACGGCATTTGTGTGCTGCCACCATGCGCTGTAGTCTTGAGCGCCCCTCCCTCTCCTTCTGCACCCACCTGTTGTCCGCCTTTGCGTCTGTGGTCTTTGCATAGTCTGTGGTCATAAGTTAAAAACGCCACCCGCTCGTCTTCTCATCATCTCAAGTCGTGTCCGGATTTTGTGTGCTGGGCAATTTCGTCCCACAAACGTCGTGTCGCACTTCCACACATTCTCACCGATTGTGACATGGCAACTCTCTTCCTTCTTGCTTTGCTTTGCTTGTTGGTTGCGCTCACAAGCCAGTCAACGAACAAGCCAACGACAACAACAACAAGAAGTGAGCTCTCCGCCACCACTCCCGCCATCATGGCACTTTTCACACCGCAGCCAACCTAACCAAACAAAACAAGCAAGCAAGGTGAGCGCGTCGATCTCTTTGGCTTGGTGTTGTTGTTTTGCGTGTTGGCCTCGTTTGCTTGCCTCGTTTGCTTGCCTTGTCTCCTGGCTGCTTGCCTCGTTTGCTTGCCTTGACTTGTGTGGCTGTGTTCCGTCAACCACTTTTTTTACCACACTCACAGCACAACACACAACACACAACACACAACACAGCACAGGACATCTTTGAAACAACACAGGCGATATGGTTGGACTGCGGCTGCGCCATTCTTTGCGGCATTGGTGTCGGCAATGCCGCGATGACAGCCCCCACCTCCTGGCGGTTTTGCTGGCCCTCCTGGCCGTGCTGTGTGTTTCCAACGCCCCGACCACGTACGCTGCTGCACCGAGCGTGCAATGTACGCTGTCGCAACTGGTGGCCGGCGTGAACTGCACAGAGCGCTTCGATTTCGGGAGAGTCACCCTCGTCATCACCAACGATATTCCCCTCGACGAGCCTTGTCCGGCACTGCCAGAGGAGGAGGAAGAAGGAGGCAACACGCCCACCCCTCAAACAAGAGCCAGGCGCATCCTGTCCAACCGTGTCGCTGGCTTGGACATTGACGGAACGGCTGCCATCGGGGCGGATGCCGACACAATCGCGTGTGCTCTGAGCGCAACCACCACTTGGAAGCAGCTGAGCAGGTTCGAGCTTGCCGGATACCAGTCGAGCGTGCTGGACTTGACGGTGCTGCTGCCAGCGGCGTCCAACCTGAAGTATCTCCTGCTCACAGACAACAGTCTGACACAGGTGGTGAACTCCAACGATGTGGTGTTTCCCTCGCTCGAGCAGCTGAACCTGGCCGGCAACGCCCTCTCCACGGTGCCGCGCGTGTTCCACTCCATGCCCAAGCTCACCCTCGTCAGCTTTTACAAGAACAGGCTGCGCGCTCTCGACGATGCGTACGGCAACCCACTCAGCCTGGCCCCCACGCTAAACGTCCTCAACCTCCACACCAACTTTCTCGGTGCGCTGCCTGCGCACGCCTTCCTCAACCTCACCGCCCTTAACGAGCTGTACCTCGACAACAACAAGCTCACCACCATCCACGATGACGCCTTTGTCGGGCTCACCCGCCTGACCACGCTCTCCCTGGACAACAACCCACTCACCACCCTGCCGCAACGCGTCATCCACAACATCACCACCCTGACCACCCTGTCCATCGAAGCTTTGCAGCTGCGCACGCTGCCCGCACGCGCATTTGCCAGAGCAAACGCCCTCACCTCCCTCGACTTGACTGCCAACCTCATCAGCAACCTCACCAGCGACACGTTTGTCGGCCTGAGTGCGCTGGAGTACCTGGACCTGAGCGCCAACGCCATCACGGCGCTTGCCCCCGGCTACTTCTCTCCGCTCACCAGCCTCAACAACATCTCCCTCGCCAACAACCTCATCACCACCCTCCCCACAGACACATTTGCGGGCCTGACAAAGCTGCTGCGCGTGAACCTCGACAGGAACCGCATCACGCAGCTGCCCGACACGCTTCTCCACGCCGCAGCCAACCTGTCCATCCTCGGCCTGGCAGAGAACGGCATTGGCGCGCTTCCCTCGGACCTGCTCACGTCACACACCATGCTGACTGGGGTGCGGCTCCAGGCCAACCGCATACCTGAGGTGGACGTGACGGGCCTCACGCGGCTGCTGAACCTTGTGCTGCATCAGAACCCGCTGCGCACGCTCACGGGCGTGTCCACGCTGCTGGCCCTTCGGACCCTCAACATCAACGACCACCAGCTTGACGAGATTGACCTGCACGACGTGTTCCACCTGTCGAACCTCATCACGCTGCAGGTCGCAGCAGACCGGGGCAGGAGCGCAACGCATGCTGCTGTTGACCGCCAGCTGTACGCCAACAGCGCATGGCTCCGGGAGGTGCAGGCGAACATGTCTGGCATCAGCACGCTCGACCTGCGCAACCTGGCTATCTACGACGCGGACCTGGCGCTCTTCAACGAGACGACGCTCAGCTCGTTTGGCATTGGCTGGTCCGAGATGCGCAACGAGTCGTTTCTGCAGGCCATCACCCCCTCCTTCAACGACGTTGTGCAGGAGCTGTTTGTGACCCACACGCAGATTCCGGAGATTCGCCTGCCAGACACCATTGAGTTTGGTGGCATCCACGTGCGCAACAACCCCGTGCTGACATCGCTCGTCATCCCCTCGGACGCAACATATGTCAACGTGTCCAACTGCCCGCAGCTGCAGAACTTCACTGCAAGGACCGTGCACACACTCGACATCAGCGGCACGCGCATTCGCATCAGCCCCGCCCTCTGTGTGACGCTGGGCGAGTCGAGCCTGTTTGCCCGCAACATGCTCAGCTTCGAACACGACGCGGCGACGACGACGGCGCTGCAGGAGATGATGCACCGCTGCCTGCACCGGGTGCAGGTGCTGGACATGAGCGACAACGGGTGGCTCAACCGGCTGGACACGGTGCGCGCGGGGACGGGAGACACCATCGCGCTCACCAGCTCCGCCGTGGAGACGGCGAGTGGAACCAACTTGCAGTTCCGCCCCACCATCCCCATCATCACCATCCAGCGCTCCCCAATCACGTGCACACTCCAGCTGGCGAGCATTCGGACTGGCTCGAGCAGCCTCTCCACCGTTGTCGGCTTCTCGTACGTGTGCTCGTGTTCGCGTGGGTTTCACCAGGCCGGTGACCGCTGCAAGCCCACGCGTCCGCCAACACTCGAGATTACCCTCGGCACCGTCTTTGCCGTCGTCCCACTCTGGTGTGTGTAGATGTGTTGTTCGTATGTGTTGTGCGTGTGTGGGGGGAGGTGTATGTGCGTGCATATGTATGTGTGGATGTGTGTGTGTGCGTGTGCGTGTGTGTAGCTGTGGGTACTTTGATGTGGTTGCTTTTGCGTCGTCTCTTATGCGTGTGTGTGTGTGTGTGTGTGTGTGTGTGTGTGTGTGTGTGTGTGTGTGTGTGTGTGTGTGTGTGTGTGTGTGTGTGCGTCTCCACGCGTGCATGCGCGTCCCTGTACCAACGTATCCCAGGACCTTGCCTGTGCTCTTGCTCACTCTTCCACCAGCCTAATTTATTGTTGACACCCTTGAACCCTCAATCCCTGCCCCGTCTTCTCTTCTGCACAGCTTCTACCTGACGCGGCTGCTGTTCCGGCGGCGCGTGCGTTTCCTGCACGAGCAGAAGGAGCTCAAGGAGCGGCTGCTGCAGGCCGAGCAGGCCGACGTGCTGGCCCTGGAGGAGGCAAGGAAGATTGGCTATGGCGAGATGCACCCGCTTCGCCGCATCGCACACGGCGCGTCTGGGGAGGTGTGGGAGGCCGAGTGGGACGGCATCACGGTGGCGCTGAAGGTGCTGCGGCAGAACGTGGGCTTCTTTGACGCGGCGCAGCGGCAGGAGTTTGACACGGAGGTGAAGTTTCTGCAGCGCACGCGACATCCAAATGTCGTGCGCTTCTTTGGTGCGGGCACCACCCCCACGGGGTTGCCGTTCCTTGTGCTGGAGTTTGTACCGTTTGGCTCCATGCGAGACCTCCTGCGGAGCGACTTGGCAGACGTGTTGCGCAAGCACGTGCAGGCGCTGTCATCGTCATCGACATCGTCGACACCGTGGGCGTCACGTTCGTGGCGGCACAGCACCACAACACTGCTTGTGGACGACCAGCAGGAAGCCGAGTGTGTGCTCATCGACAGCGCCATTGGCGGCGGCGGTGGCGGCTTTGGTCCCGTCAACACCACCGTCACCACCGTGCTTGGGCTCAAGCTTCGCCTGGCCTTTGATGTTGCCAGCGGCATGGCCTTTATCCACTCCCTCGACCAGCTGCACAGGTGTGTGTGTGTGTGTGTGTGTGTGTGTGTGTGTGTGTGTGTGTGTGTGTGTGTGCGTGTGTGTGTGTGTGCGTGTGTGCGTGTGTGTGTGTGTGCGTGTGTGCGTGTGTGCGTGTGTGCGTGTGCATATTTGTGGCGTTTGAACAGATGGCAACGTTATCATGTACGTATGACCCATCTCGTATGCACTCACGTCTACACACCACCACGCTTCACCCTTTGTGTTCTTCGGCCTTCTATACCCTTGCACCTGCCTTGCTTGCGCCAGGGACCTCAAGAGCGGTAACGTGCTTGTGTCGAACCGGCTGCGCGCGAAAATCTCCGACTTTGGGACGATTCGCCAGCGCCTGGGGGCCGAGCCACAGCCACACGCCGCCGCAGCAGATGTGCCGTACTCGCAGGAGGTTGGCGGGCAGACGCTGCAGCTTGCACTGACGGCGGGTGTGGGCACACCGCTGTACATGGCGCCAGAGGCCCTGCCGGGGAGCGAGTATGACCAGAAGGCAGACGTGTTCAGCTTTGGCGTGCTACTATGGGAGATTGCGACGCAGCGCACCCCTGATCTGATTGAGCAAGAGTTACCCGGGTACCAGGGCCCGATGCTGGCCACGCTCGCACAGCTGCTCGGAGACGGCAAGCGGCTGCAGTTTCCAACCAAGTTCGGTGCGTAAGGAGTTGGGGGGGGGGGAGAAGGGGGTTGATGTGTTTTGCGTTAGTGTATGTGCCTGTGTGTGTGTGTGTGTGTGTGTGTGTGTGTGTGTGTGTGTGTGTGTGTGTCGTGTGTGTGTGTGTCGTGTGTGTGGGGTGCGAGGGATTGTGCTAATGCGTGTGAACCCAGGCGCAGTATGTGAAGGCGCTTGCGGCAGCAAA